CAGAAAGTTGAATCGATTAAGTGTTTGGGTTATGTTAAAAACGGTTTCATTTCATATTTGACGGATTTCGTTAACGACATCTAACCTCGTTTAATTGCTCCGTTTGGCGTTTTAAAGATGTGCCTAAATTGGCAAAGTCAACTAAAGTTTCATATTAAAGAGAGAGTCAACATAAAGTTTGTGATTTAAATCAACAGTTGGAGAGTTCGGGATTTAAATCAACGAAATCGTACTCTCCAGGATTTTTATGGCATTTTTCCCATAAAACATTTGAAATCAATTTTTCTATATGTGTTAATTATTTTTGAAAAGGAAAATTATATAACAATATATATTTGAATGTTTTGTAGTTTAAAGTATGTTTTTGGATTATGGTTTTCGATTTTAGGATTAAGGATTTTAGTTTTTGATTTTACAAAAACATAAGAGAAATATTAAATGGGATGGAGAAAAAGTTGAAAACCAAAGCATATAAATAAGAGAATGGCTAGTGCTCACCTGTTATTGATGAGAAGTGTAAGACTCATAGGCAAAATAGTTTAGACTATATACTATACTTTCTCTGTTCCAAATTATAAGAGGTTTAATTTTTTTTGGTAACATTTTATAAAATATTTTACAAATTTCTATATAGAATGTAATGTTGTTTAGGTATTTTGACTCTTTAAAATTCTGTAGTATTTTTTATGATTGGTTAAATTTTATTTTTAGTTAATTATTGAATGATACATATCTTTTTAAATAATTTTCTTTATCTTTGTGCTTTTAGCTTAAACATCTTATAATTTGGAAGAGAGAGAGAGTAAATATTAAGAAGTTCATTTCAGTAAATTGAATAATTTTCGTTTAAAAATACAATCACACAAAAATCACACAATCAAATCATTGGTAGTAGCAACTAGCAACGATAAACATAATTAAAACAAAATAAGAAAACACAATATATGATGATGCAACATCGAGAATTTTTTTATTTATGAACAATGATATAAACATATATACTTTCAAACCCATGCATGCAACAAAACAACGTTCTCGAAAAAATTACATAAAATATGTTACTTTCAATGAAATTTTAAAACAAAACCTTTTCTTCTAATTCTCGACTCTCTTATCTTCATTGATATGAAAGTCAAAGTCATTTAAATTTAAATTTATTGTTGGTGATACATCAATAAATACATTAAACATTACACAATCAGAAGATGTTGATTCAACTTAAGCGAATTTGTTGTCTGAACTTCATTTTTTTTTACCTCCTCTCTTGGGCATATTAATATTTTTGTCGCCATGTTACAAAACTTACAACATATACACAAGCCAAATGATTAGACATTTTCTCTCGATATTTTAACATATTTTTCAATATATAGAAAGGTAAGAAAAACATAAAGCCATGGATCATCTCCAACGAGCATCGTATCTCCTTCATTGTTTATAAAAACCATTTCCCATTTATCATTGGTTCGTAACTCATCTTTGAGATCGAAAAGTTCTTCTAGTTTCTGTATCAGCTGATTGTATCCATGGAGAAGAGTTATATCAACATTTTTGTCTATGGCTACACCTTGCATATGAACCTGTTCAACAACACCACATCAAGATCATGTGAGCTTGAGGAAAGCCATAAAATCTTTACACGAATTTTTATTAAAAGTACAAATGTGTTAATATATACACAAGTTTAAAATATTTTCAAATAAAGATATATAACTTGTAAAATGAACACTTGTTAGAGTGCACTAGTATTACAAAGTAAAATTTGTTTATATGCAAATAACACTAAGATGGTTTTAAACTAACGTTGGTATGGTTTATAATCGAATTAAATTGGTTGTTTTGAACCTCTTTAGTTGACACCATAGTTTGGGTAAAGTCAACTTTTTTATCCATACAGAGTTCTAAAGTCTCAGATATATGTGGTCTGATTCAATTGGATCCATGAAATCTTTGGTCTCTAAAGGTGTGGTCTCAATTGGATTCATCACAGAACTCATGTTTGGCTGTCCAATTTCTTGGCCACTCCAAAGAATCGATGATGAACCTATATATGAAAACAGTTGGAACGTGAAATGTATTTGCACAAGGAAGCTTTAGCTTATGAAGCAGGAAAAAAAAAAAGTTAAAAGAATGTGCCTTTTACCAAGTTCATTAAGTTGACGAGACCTTTTTTTTTTCTTGAGCAAATTTGACTGGAAAATATTTGATGAAAGCATTAAATATTATTTTTCCTATGGTAAAATCTCATCCCATCGCACTTCAAAAAAGAAAACATTGTGATATATATAAAATTGGGAATTTTGTTAAATATGCCATTTTTGAAACTCAAATTTGTAAGAATGCCATTAACAAAAGTCTCTTTCAAAACATGCCACAAAAGATAAAATTTGGACGATTTTGCCCTTAGCATTAGGGAGTGAAATTTTGTTTTTTCTGTTTGCAGCAGTAGCTATTAATTGATAGGATGTAGCCTAATATCCTGTTGGTAATGGACCATGTCATAAATAATGGACGAGTATATAATATATGATGGACAAAAAATATAAAGTAGATGTGGTCCATCGAAAACTCACTTTGACATAATTCAAGAGACAACTCTGATGCGTGTCCACCAAGGATGTTCTATAGAAGAACACAAATAAAGTTTTGATTTATTAAAGAGCACAATGTAAACCAGATATGTACAAATTGGTGGGTGCTAATGGAGGACTAGTAGAGAGATTTTGTGGAAGTTGTGGGTGGTGAAGGAGCAGAGACAAAAAATGATAGACAAAAAAAAAAAAATCTCGTCCACAATCTATGGTCCATTACATCTAATCCGCCATAACTAGTCGACCAAAATTGGTTCACCGAATCTTGTCCATCTACAGAAAAATGTATTGTCCATAGTATAATAACCGCATCACTTGTTTCATCGTCTGGTTGGTCCGCCGAATCAAGTCACCATAACTGGTCCGCCGGATTTTGTTACCTAGAACAAGTCTATCGTAACTAGTTTTTGTCCGCCGGAAAATGATTCGCCAGATCTGGTTTGCCACAACTAGTCTATCGTAACTGGTCTATCTGGTCCGCCGAATCTGCTATGCCGGAGCTGGTTAAAGTTCGTAGGAACTGACTATGGTCTGCCTGAACTCGTCCGCCAGATCTAGTCTATCGGAACTCGTCATCTGGTTGGTCGAAACTGGTCCGCCGAATCTGGTCTGCTTGAACTGGTTATACTTCATCAGAATTGACTGTGGTCTGCCAGAACTCGTCCGCTGGAGTTATAATTTGTCAGAACTGGTCCGTCGAATCTGGTCTGCCGAATCTGGTCTGCCGAATCTGGACCAGAATTGCTATGGTCCGCCGGATCTGCTTTGTCGACTCTGGTCTGTCGGATCTGGTCTGTCGAATCTGGTCTGTCGGAGTTCGTCCGCCGGAGTTCGTCCGTCGGATCTGGTCTGCAGGAATTGTTTGTTGTTGGAAGAAGAAAAAAAAATGAAGAAGAGAAAGAAATAATAAAAAAAAATTGAACAGTCACGACACTGAGCAACTAATTCGTCCAGGGATACATTAGTCTTTTTGTAAGGCTCTTGTGGCAGGCGGGAGAAGAGGTTTCTCAAAATGGCATTTCTTACAAGTTTTTTTACTGTACATGGCAATCTTTACAATTTTCTCTATAAAATTTCATGAATGAGATGATATAAATTAAAGAGTTAATTAAAAAAAAGGCAGTTTTCTTAGCGTGCCTTTTCGTTTTAGGCACTTTTCCAAATCCTTTCCAAAATAGGTATTCAATGCACTGTTAAATGTCGGTTTTACCCTTAAATCAGTGACGTCTTTTTCTTTCTCTACCTTTCTCTATGTTCTCTGTCATCTTATCAAAAGAAAAAAATTGAAATCAAAGCTTTTCGATCATGTTCGTTCTTGGCTTCTATGTTCCAAATTCAAGTATGTATCTTAGTCTCCTTTGTCGGATTTATAAATCTGGATCCAGTTTTGCAGTGGCCTTATTCTTCTTCGATTCTTCTCGGATTTAGTCTCCGGGGAAAACGACGCGTTCGAGAAGCAGCCGCAACAAAGCAAATCGAGATTAGATTTATGATTTCCTCTCAGTTGGGTTTGATCTGTAATATGTTGTTCGACATAGTATGTTTTTGAAATATTTGACAATAAACTAGTTTTATGGATTCGAAACTTTATAATGATCTATGTGGGTTGATTAGTGCATGTCTTAGGGTTTAGTTTTACATCTCTAGGAACTCGTAATTCACTATCGTTAATGCAGGCTTGTTCGGAGGTGATGAAAGGGTTGATATGATGTATCTCCTCCGAATGTTTGCAGGTAATATTAAAAGCTTTACCAATCCACTCAAGTCTTGATTCTTCTTCTCGCTCTATATGGTGAAGGGCAATAATGTCATAAACAGTAGATTTTTGCTGAGTTGTACATTGTTACTGTATTACGTTCCTACTTCGAAAGAAAGGAGTTCAAAAGTGCCTATTTTGATAATATTCCCATTAATTAAACTGTCAACTAGGTGAAACGGAAACCGTCTGCTAAGCTTTCACCCAACGGATTTAAAATAAGAGAAATACCATTGTATACCACCTTTTAAGCTTTTTTCCAAAAATATTACAATCTGTTATTTTTCCAAAAATACCACAAATTTTTTTTTTTGCAAAAATACCATAAACATAAAAATTTGAATATTGAAGATGTATACTTTTCTTTTTATGTTTGGGTTAATTAATTACATTTAGTGTATAAATTTTAGGGATATAGTTTTTTATTTTATTTTATTTTATTTTTTATTTTTTTAGGGATATAGTTTATGCTTAAGATTTAGAAGTTAATTCTGAATGTTAAAAAATCAAGTTTTAGTTTTGTGGCATTTTTGGAAAAAATTGGATTTTAGTGGTTTTTTGGAAATAAACTTTATAATGATATTTCTGAAAAATACTAATTTTAGTGGTATTTAAGAAAATTATCCTTCAAAGAATTTGAACTACAAAAATCTCGTTTTGAGAAATCCACATGAATATAATAATATATATGCATCGGAAAGAATTGATTTCTAACCTAGATCAACAGAGCAATTCTTCCACCCAATGGGAACCACGAACGCACCACCGTGTGGTTGCAAGATGTTTAAACTTAGGGTCTGAATGGAAAATAGTACAAAAGAAGTTAATGAGCTAAAGTAGAACATCTACTTTTATGTTCTCATTAAAACAAAAAAAAAATTAGCGGATAAACTACTTTTCTGAGCTGCTTTAAAAAGAAAAAAATATTATTTTTTTCATGTTTTTTTCTCTAATAAGGAGAGCAGTCCACCTATACCTAATTAGGAGTGTATGTAGTGAGTTATGCTTTTTTTAATTTAATATTAATTTCTCTAAATATATTTAAGATATAAATATTTTGAAGCATTTGAACCGTTTAATCTGAATTTGTTCTGTTTGATATGCTTAATTTACCTTTGTTCTGCTCGATCTACATGATCTACTCTACTTGTTACGCTTTCCTCATCCAAAAGGACCAAAGCTTTATTCAAAACGTAATTATTTTTTATTTTTTATTTTTATTTTTTTATCATTATTTCCGTAGATTTTATCATGGTGGATAACTTGATATCACAAAACAAAATAAAATGATATAGTTTAACATAAATGCAATTATTCAATGTATATAGATCCGAGTCGTGTTCTTTGTTTTTTTTTTTTAATAATGTTAAATTGAAAAGTATTCAACTTTTGTTTTTTTTTTGGTAAGAATATTCAACTTTATTTTGGTAAAATATTCCAAAAGTCATTAATAATTAAAAAAGTCATTAATAATAATAATAATAAAAAAGCCTCTTTGGACGTATCCCAAAAAAGCCCACCCAGCAGATTCTCCGAAACTTCGTTTCGTCAGAACCAAAAAAAGCTGACACATAACAAAAAAATCATTCCTTTTGACTCAATCCAAAACCTCTCTCTCCTTTTCATCTTTATCTCGCCGATCAAAAAAAACCCTAGAAAACTTATCTTCACCAATCCTCGCTCTCTCTTGTTCCCGTTCGATCACCATCGTTGTCTCTTTCTCAGTGTTATGTAAGTTTGATCTCCTTTGTCTCCACTGTGAAAAACCCGTGAGAGACCAAAGGAGAAAAGGTGCTCTGTTTTAGTTGTGTTCTGTTTTTTTTTTTCAAGGGTTTACTTCTCGTTGACCTCTGAATCGATTCGATGGCTGATTCGTGTTTCAAAGCCGGTAAGTTTAGCGCACCTGGGTTTCGATTTCACCCGACTGATGAAGAACTTGTTGTTTATTATCTTAAGAGAAAGATCTGTGGTAGAAAGCTTCGTATCAATGCCATTGGTGTCGTTGATGTTTACAAAGTCGATCCTTCTGAATTGCCTGGTAAAGCTTTGATCTTTATGTATCCTAATCACTTAGTTTTGTCTTGTTGATGATTGTTTTGATTATGTGATTACTGATTAGTAAGTAAGCCTCTGTTTTTTAATTCCTCTGTTTTGAATTCTTCTGTTTCTCTGTTAAAAATCTTGAATTTTTCATTTTTCATGTAACTCTGTTTTCTTTGTAATGATTCACAATTCGTATGGACAGGTTTGTCAATGTTGAAGACCGGAGATAGACAATGGTTCTTTTTCACACCAAGGAATAGGAAGTATCCAAACGCAGCTAGATCAAGTAGAGGAACTGTAACTGGGTATTGGAAGGCGACGGGGAAGGATCGAGTTATCGAGTATAATTCGAGATCGGTTGGACTTAAAAAGACTCTTGTTTTCTATAGAGGTCGGGCTCCTAATGGTGAGAGGACTGATTGGGTGATGCATGAGTATACAATGGATGAAGAAGAACTTGGGAGATGTAAGAATGCCAAGGTATTATGTAGCTCATTTGTTCACAGTTATCTTCTTGATTCGTTTCTTGATTTGTGATTAACTAAGCTGTTCTTTTTTCTTTTCTTTAGGAGTATTTTGCACTTTATAAGCTGTACAAGAAAAGTGGAGCTGGTCCTAAAAATGGTGAACAGTATGGTGCTCCGTTCCAAGAAGAAGAATGGGTTGATAGCGATAATGAAGAGGCTGATAATGTTGCTGTACCGGATAATCCTGTGGTCCATTATGAGAACACTCGTCGTATGGATGATACTAAGTTTTGCAATCCTATCAGTGTTCGGTTAGAGGATATCGAGAAGCTTCTCAATGAAATTCCTGATGCTCCCGAGGTTACTACGAGACAGTTTAACGAGTTTTCTGGTGTTCCGCAGGTCAGTTTCTTTTCTCTTGCTATGAGGAATATCGTTTTGCTACCAACATAGTACATTGCTGAATGATTATGTTGTGCTTCCTTCACTAAATGAATACTTGTACTTGCAGGGTAATAGCGTAGAAGAGATACAGAGCACATTGCTGAATGGTTCTTCTGGAGAGTTTATTGACCCCCGGAAAACTGGAGTGTTCTTGCCAAATGCCCAGCCTTACAACAGAAACTCGAGTTTTCAGTCCCGTCTGAAGTCGGCAAACTCATTTGAGGCTACCTCTGGTATGACACCTCTTCTAGATTTTGAGAAGGAGGACTACATTGAAATGGATGATCTTCTGATCCCTGAACTCGGAGCTTCTTCAACTGAGAAATCCGGACAGTTCTTGAACAATGGTGAACTCGGTGACATTAATGAATTTGACCAATTGTTCCATGACATTTCCATGTCTTTGGATGTAGATCCTGTTTTTCAGGGAACTTCTACAGATATGTCTTCTCTGAGTAATTTTGCTAACAACACATCAGACCAAAAGCAGCAATTCCTTTATCCACAGTTGGACCAGACCCTTGAGTACCAGCAGAATAACTTCATGCATCCTAGTACAACCCTTAATCAGTTCACTGACAATATGTGGTTTCAAGATGGTCAGGCTGCTCTCTATGACCAACAGCCACAGTCTTCTTCTGGAGTATTCACTTCACATTCAGCAGGTACCTAAAGTCTTAAACTCATGCTCATCTTCGAGCATTCGCCAAAAATGCTCTTTTCCGCATTTTTGTTTTTGAATTGAACCAAGAAAATGTATATATGATACTCATAATACTCAGGGTATGCCCTTTTGTTTAGACCTAGGCTTTTTCACTGATACTTTGTGAATACCAATTTGCTTAGGTGTGATGCCTCTTGAGTCTATGAATCCTACTATGAGTGTAAATGCCCAAAACACTGAAGGCCAAAATGGTGGTAAAACAACGAGCCAGTTCTCATCAGCTCTGTGGGAATTATTGGAATCGATACCTTCAACACCAGCCTCTGCCTGTGAGGGTCCTCTTAACCAGACCTTTGTGCGTATGTCTAGCTTCAGCCGCATCAGGTTCAATGGAACAACGTCAGTGACTAGTAGAAAAGTCACCGTAGCAAAGAAGCGAATCAGTAACAGAGGTTTTCTTCTGTTATCAATTATGGGTGCTTTGTGTGCCATCTTCTGGATGTTCATAGCCACCGTTGGAGTCATGGAAAGACCAGTCGTCCTCTCGTGACCTAAAACTCTTGATTCAGGATAAGTTAGAAGAGCATGATCGACATTAGTGATTATGGAATTGATTATATGAAATCTTTGATAATGTATAGAGTTTGAAAGAGCTAAGAAAAATAAAATTTCCAAGGGTTTTTTTGTTTTTCTTTCTCATATTCTCGATGCCTTTGATTTGCATATCTTATGTTTTCGTAGTTCAAGAAATCAAGACGAAGAGAAGAAAACTTTGCTATATATGCAATTGTGGTACACTATGAGGCAACAACAGTTCAAAACCTGTATACTCGAAAAACTGATGGGAACAAGACACAGATTATTTCCTCCAACATTCAGACAACGTTACATTCTTAGTCACCTTGTTAGTTATTGTCTTTGCGGGCATCCTAAATTTCGAACGGTGATTGCATATCAGTTCGGTGAAAGTAAGCGATCAAGCTCAGCAAACCCATCATCTTCATCATGTTCCACATCTTTCAATTGTTTCTGTGCCGTCGTCGTAAGACAATCAAGCTTGGTTTGTTCATATAATGAAATTCTTTGTGAATCCCATTCCTCTTTCAGTCTCTCCACTCTCCGTCCCATCAACTCTTTCTCTTCTGATATGTGCTTTATGTCTTCAATCTCTACTATTTCTCCTGCTCCTTAAAATTACGAAATCAAGATGGTACACATTAGTACATACATAGTTAATTTCTCGCAGAGCTCGAAAGCAGATCAACTTTACAGTTTTGCTTTTGCAGAAATGGGATGGGAGGGATCATAGAAATGATAGAAAAAGTTTTGCGCACAAAACAGTTCATATGAAGAAGCATACCTTTGATTGAGCGTTTCTTGGCCACTGCATAAACTAAAGACGTTTTATGTAGGGAACTCAGATCAAGTTCTTTACCCTGATAAGAACAAAGGCGGCAAGAAAGGTATAATATAGAAAACTTTAGTGAAGTTTAAAATCAAACTGCTGGACATATACTTTTGTCCACTAATCTTTAGACAAGAGCTTTAGAGAAATGTAAACATTTCAAAGATTTAAGTATTTCATACTCACCATATCCAAATGAACAAATTGCTCGATCTCGGTTTCAGAGAGTAATCTGTTCTTATCAAGCATTTCTTTTGCCACAGCAGCAGCTATCTCCACACATTTATCTTTTGCCTCGACTACAAGATCCCTAAGTTTCCCAAGCTCTTCTACAAGATGTGAATCACAAAAGTTTAGTATGATACTAGCAATAAGGAGAACTTCAAAAGAGTTGTAAAAACGAATGTTCAAAATCACCAAAGACCAATGAATACGTCACATTACTCACATTACAGCAGCTTTCACAATTTTATGGTTAATCTAAGAAACCAGATTAAAGATGATAGATACATCAAACTGTTAAGTTAGACATTATAAAATCTTACAGCAAGAACAACAAAAGGTAAACACTTACGAAGTGAGATATAAACTCTGAACTTGGGTTTAAAAGGTTGGATCTCATAAAGGCAATAGAGACAGTAGAGACCTCCAAGTCTCCGCGAAAAAGAATCAATACTAACCATGTGACCTGCAGATATAATAAACGAGAATGGTTTGTGAACTTCAGCTAAGAAACTAGCACAAGGTGAATGCAAACATCTAGAAAATAGACCACAACGTAACGCACCAATGGTATGCGCATATAGTGACTGCATGAAAAAGGCTAAGTTGCTATTAGGACTAGCTTCATATATATACGAAAACTTTCGGGATAGCCACACGCTCTTCAAATCAGCAAACGTTGTCAAATCATCCTAGAATCAAAACCAGAAGAGATTCACCAAACTGGAAACTGTACAAGAAGTTCAAATTCAAAACTTTCCTTAAGCTTTTAAACAAAGATTGAGAAAACAATATACACATACCTCTACAAACTCGCCTATGAGCTCATCTATATCTCTCTTGAACGTAGAAAGATTCATCCCTGACATACACAAAAGGAAAAAAAAAGGTATGAGCATTGTTAGAAACAAAAAGATTTAGTATTCAAGAACTTTGTATCCTATTAATTGCTTATCAAATCACAAAAGATTCAGAGGCTGAAGAGTGAGGATTAAGAATCAAGCCATTATCCAAACCAAATAAACCATTTGATTGTTCATGTATGTAACTTGTTCACTACTCTACACGATGAATTAGAAAATTCCAAGTAAGATTATTAAGACATCAACCTAACAAAGACTTAAGTCAATTAGTATTACGAATCCTTCTAATTCCACTAACTTAAAAGTACATAAAACCCACACTGATGAATCAAAACACAAACTTTCATTAAGAACACAACAGCACAAAGCCAGAGACAGAGATCTTAATGATCCTAAGCTTAAATTACCGGCTTTGAAACACGAACCAGCCATTGATCAGGGGTTAACGAGAAGTAAACCCTTAAAACACAGCAGATATATATGTCAGCAATCTATTCCTAATCCTATTAGAAATACATATACTAAGATATCTCCTAAAGTATATGATCCTTATCTCTAATTAAACCATTGCTCGGTTTACGACTAGGATAGCTTCCATCCCAAGTTATCTATTCAAGCTTAATTCAACAAGAAATCTATCAATACATAATTAATTACTAACATACGAAAAAGAAAAGCAAAATATAACTAAAATCAAAGACATAGTTTCAGCAAAATATAAGTAAAACAAAGAGCTCATAAGCAATTGCTCTGTTTGTTTAGATTAGGTCTCTAATACTAATCTGTTTACTGTTTTATTTGTTAATTATTCCAGATAAAGTAGAAAAATCATCATTACTGTTCTTTACTTACACATTGCATTGTCCAAAAAGGCAGATTATGTTATGAATAAGAAAGAAGTCTCAGCTTTATAATTAATAAAATGCTGCCAATAATCTAAATGATAATACACCTATATTGAAATACAATTTTCTTTTCTATTTAAACTACAAATCTTACACTATAATTATAGTAATTTGGTAAAACCATACTCAAATGGATTCAAAAGAATTATGAAATGCTTCTTCCTATACATGTTGTGTGATATTTATTTGTATAAATATCTAGCTTGTAAGACTTGTAGTTTAATTAGAAAAACCAAAACACATATGTGAAATCAAAGTACCAATTTTTTTAAATTCAAATAACGGTTTAGCATTATGCCATATATCATCTGATTGTTTGTGGTTTTTGAAGTATTTTTTCGTTTTAGTTTTTTTTTTTTGCAATAATCTATTTTGTAGTCGTTCATAAATTTTGAGAGAAAACAAAAACCATCAGGCTCGAACAACCTTGTTGTCACCATAGTTACAAATGTCGACGGATGCAAATATCTTACGTTTTACTAAGGTGCCAAAAAAGTAAACTTCTACAACAGTATATAATTTTTAATTTTGTCTACTGGTAAATACCGGTATTTCATGATCTCTGCAACAAATCATCGTAAGTCACTATTTATAAATAAAAGATGATATATATGTCTAAAATATTTTTTATCAATAATGTTTATTTCTTATTTTAAACATTTTATTCTCTTTACTAGCGAATCTAGATTTTGAGTGTTTAAACAGTATTTCAAAGAAAAACCAAAATCTATTTTTATTTCTCCTTTAAAAACCATCAATCACATACGTTATTTTTATTTTTTATTTTTTCTGAAAAGAAATGATCCATCAGCTAAAACCAAAAAGTAAGAAAATTACCATTCATTTTTAAAATAATGTTCACCAAAAATCAAAACACAAAAAAAAAAAAAAAAAAAAAAAAAAAATTAGATCCAAAAACTACAATATTCGATTAATTTTACAAATATTGGCCCGCCCATCTAATGGGCTGGTAGAGCCCATTAAGCTCTCTCACAAACTTCGTTAGTCCAAGTGATCGAAGGCTGCTAAGTATTACTATTAGGCACCAAAGCTGAAACATCTTCTTCTCTCAGATAGCCAACCAAATCATCTCAATCTCATTTCTCGTTTCTTACCATTTTTGTTCACTTCTCTCTCTCTCTCTCTCGCCGATCAAAACCCTAGGATCTTCAATTCAAACCATTCGATCTCTGAGGGTTGCTCTCACTGTCATGTAGGTTTGATTCTTCTTCTCTTCTGGGATCTTGAGAGACGAAGAGAAGAGATCTGAGGTCTTCTGAGAGAGAAAGATTTGCTCACTCGTTGACCCGATCGGTTTTTTCCTTTTGTCGCTTGGGACTTTTCAATTTTACTTTCGACGGATCGGCTCTGATTTGTTTACGTAGATGGCGGAATCATCTCCTGATTCGTGTTTCAAAGGAGGCAAATTTAGTGCTCCAGGGTTTAGATTTCACCCTACTGATGAAGAGCTTGTGATGTATTATCTTAAGAGGAAGATTTGTAGGAAGAGGCTTAGAGTTAACGTTATTGGTGTTTTTGATGTTTACAAAATGGATCCTGAGGAATTGCCTGGTAAAATTTCATCTCTTTTATCTTATTTTGATCTTTACCTGATTGTGTTATGGAATTAGATTTGGTTATTGTGGACTACTTGTTTAAAGGAATGAGAACTATATCAGATTTGTATCTGTTTGCGTTTTGATTTGAGATGAATTGCATCAACTGATTTTCATTTGGTGTATTTTGTTGATACAGGTCAATCGATGTTGAAGACGGGAGATAGACAGTGGTTCTATTTCACTCCAAGGAGTAGAAAGTATCCAAACGCAGCTAGGTCAAGTAGAGGCACTGAAACTGGGTATTGGAAAGCAACGGGGAAGGATCGAGTGATCGAGTATAATTCCAGATCGGTAGGAGTTAAAAAGACTCTTGTTTTCTATAGAGGACGGGCACCTAATGGTGAGCGGACTGATTGGGTGATGCATGAGTACACGATGGATGAAGACGAACTAGGGAGATGTAAGAACCCCCAGGATTACTATGCTCTTTATAAGCTGTTTAAGAAAAGTGGTGCTGGTCCTAAAAATGGTGAACAGTATGGTGCTCCGTTCCAAGAAGAGGAATGGGTTGATGATGATAATGAAGATGGGAACAATGTTCCTGTACCAGAGCAACCTGTTGTTTGTTATGAGGATACTCGTCGTGTGGATGGGAGGGGACTTTTCAATCCTGTCGGTCTTCAGTTAGAGGATATTGATGCGCTTCTCAATGGAATCCCAGATGCACCTGGGGTTCCATCAAGATGTATTCCCCAGGTCAGTTTCTTCTCTCTTTGAATGAGAAAGATGATTTTTAGCATCAAGGTCTTGTTTTACATGTTTATTTTTGTGTGATTTCCTCACTAAATGGATAATTGTTATTGCAGGTGAACAGCGAAGAAGAGCTGCAGAGCACGTTGGTCAACAATTCTGCTAGAGAAATCTTACCAAATAGCCAGCCATACAACAGGCACTCAAGTTTTGACTCTTTAGAGACCACTGAGGCCACTTCAGCTCCCAAGACCTCTGGCATATCACCTCTGGTGTTTGAAAAGGATGATTTCATTGAAATGGATGATCTTCTGATCCCTGAACTTGGAGATTGTTCAATTGAGAAAGCCGCACAGTTCTCGAACCATGGTGAATTCGGCGACATTAATGAGTTTGACCAATTGTTCCATGATGTTTCCATGTCTTTGGATATGGAACCCATTGACCAGGGAACTTATACAGATCTGTCTTCTCTGAGTAATTTTGCTAACAACACATCAGACCAAAGACAACAATTCCAGGACCAGACTCCCGAGAACCAGTTGAACAACATTATGGATCCTAGTACAACGCTCAATCAGTTCCCTAACGATACCTGGTTCCAAGATGATCAGACTGTTCTGTTTGATGAACAAACTTTTTCTGCAGCATTTGCTTCACCCTCGTCAGGTACTTAGAATCATACTTGTCTCAGAGCACTCACCTTTGTTATCTGCTAAGTTATTTCCACTAAGGATGAATATTTTTCTGCATTTTTTTTGGACCTAAACCAAGACATGTATATATGATACCCTGGCTGTTGTTTTTCTTTGATTATCAAACCCTCTTGTTGATATCTAAAAACGAAATAACTTAAGCCTGAGCCTTTCCACTGATACATTGTGAAAACTGCTCCTTTGCTTAGGTGTGATGCCTGATTCCACCAATCCTACTATGAGTGTGAATCCCCAAGACCAGGAATGCCAAAATGGTGGTGGAACAACAAGCCAGTTCTCATCAGCTCTGTGGGCATTAATGGACTCAATACCTTCAACGCCAGCCTCTGCGTGTGAGGGTCCTCTTAACCGAACCTTTGTACGTATGTCTAGCTTCAGCCGTATCAGGTTCAAGGCTAATGGAACGCCAGTGACCAATACCATAGCAAAGAAGGGTATCAGAAACAGAGGTTTTCTTCTCTTGTCAATCGTTGGTGCCTTGTGTGCCATCTTCTGGGTGTTCATAGCAACCATCCGAGTCTCAGGTAGAACCATCTTCTCTTGAAAAGACTCGTGGTGGTTTTCTTGAACTCCTAGTTAGAGAGCAAGCGAGATGAAGAAACCATGACCCACATTAGTGTTCATGGGATTATTAACCTATTTTTAATATATATGAATCTTTGAATATGTACAGAGTTTGAAAGAGTAAAGAACCATAATTCTTGATAAAGGATTTTGTTCTCTTTTCCTGCATATCTATCTTCTGGGTTTCAATATACACAAAGCCTCACAAGAGAGACCGTTATAATCTTGAAGAGGTATTGTGAATCGTGAAGCAAACTCTTGTATTCATCTCTGTTGAAGTTGTAGATGGGTTTGACGAAGAAGCAGCTTCAGGTTGAGCTCTGGTGATCATTGTCTCGACGACGGTGATTATGATCCCGATTCGTGGAACCGTCACTGAGGAAAGAGAGTAGGATCCGCAGCAGAGCCGTCACTATGTTTTTGAAGGCCACAAACAAAAGAAAAAAAAAACTAAAACTGATCAACGTGGAGTTTCGAACCCACATGGCTAAAGCATCACCAACATCACCTTAACCATTAGACCACAAGAACATTTTTGGAAAATAGGGCCGAAAGTTTTATATAATGGCAAGGGCCGCAAGCCAATGCTTCATTAGCTTGGCCTTTGGGCCGGCGCTGATCCGCAGGAATCTGCAAGCTTGAGAAACCAGAGAGCAGATACCGACAACACAACCAACCGATGTCTCCTCTGTTCTACTCATCTCAGCTTCCAAGACCTTATCCTTCTCTTTCCTCTGTTATGGATCGCTGAATCGGTTGTGTTCCATTAGCCACCGCCACTCTTTAATGATCAAAGTTTCTAGTTGCCGGCTACAATCAAAATATATCAATTATTTATAGCGGTTAAAAAGTAACAAAAATAATTTACCAATGATAAACATAGATATTAACCGTGCTTTAAACTTACTAATTAAAAACATTAATTAAGTGACTTCTTCACTTTAACTCTTACCGGAGAAAAGACCGATGCAATAATGTCCGACTCCGACAACAACCAAATCCGAATCGGACTCTTAAGCTGCATCAACATCGTCCGTAAACTCTCTCGAGCCATAAACCTTTCTCCAAACGCTACTATCTCCGCCATAGCCACCACCAGCTCCATCGAAGAAGCTAAATCTTTTACTGCATCTAACAATTTCCCTATAAACACAAAGATCTATGGCTCTTACGAGTCGCTTCTACAAGATCCTGATGTAGACGCCGTCTATTTACCTATTCCGGCTAGTCTCCACGTTGAGTGGGCTGTAAGAGCCGCGAGGCAAGGTAAGCATATACTTCTTGATAAGCCTGTTGCTTTGAACGTATCTGAGTTTGATCAGATCGTGGAAGCTTGTGAGTTTTATGGAGTTCAGTTTATGGATGGGACTCAGTGGATGCATAATCCTAGAACTGCTAAGATCATAGACTTTGTGAAGGATTTTGAGATTAGAACTGTAAGTCTTAAATTAGTAACTTAATCTTGTTTCTTGAAATGTTTCTTGAAATTTTTCTTGAAATTAAGTAAAGAACTCGATGGTTATACATATGCAGGTGAATAGTTGTTTCTCATTTGCAGCAAGTGAGAGTTTCTTAAAGAATGATATTCGTGTGAAGCCTGGTCTTGATGGGCTTGGAGCTCTTGGTGATGCTGGATGGTACACAATCCAAGCAGTTCTTGTAGCCAACAACTTCAAACTTCCGAAAACCGTCACTGCATTGCCCGGTTCTGTCTTAAACGATGCGGGAATCGTTCTTTCTTGTGGTGCATTGTTCGATTGGGAAGAAGGGATTACAGCGACGATTTATTGTTCTTTCTTGGCAAATCTAACGATGGAGATAACCGCAATTGGTAAGAAAGGTACTGTCAATGTTCGCGACTTTGTTATACCGTATAGGGAAACCGATGCTGCGTTTATAACAAGCACTAGAGGTTGTCTTAGTGAACACAAAGTCATGACCGAGCTTCCACAAGAGACGTGTATGGTGATAGAGTTTGCACGGTTGGTTGGAGAAATCAAAAACAGAGGAGCTAAACCTGATGGGTTTTGGCTCAGCTTTAGCCGGAAGGTGCAGCTGCTTGTTGATGCCGTGAAAGAATCGATTGATAATAACCTTGAGCCGGTTTTGCTCTCTGGACGGTGAAGAAAGAGCCTCAGAGATCATGATACAACCAATGCTTAGCTTAGTTACTTTGTTAGGTTTCTGTTTGCCCTTTCAATGATCTCAATTCTCTAGCAAGATCACCAAAGCAGCTAGTGAAAAGTTAGTTGTTATCAAGTGAAATGGTAACATTAGCCATGTTTTCATTCATATGTATAAAACCACCAGATAAAGCGTCATAACATTCATACTCATTTGGTCTTTGTTATTGAGTTGTGTCTCTCTGTCCTTAAGCTAAGAAAATGTCAAATTGACCAAGTTGGTTTAAAGGTCGGTTCAATTAAGAGGTATTACTGAGGAGTTACTTTCTTCAAAGACCATTAAAAGTCATTCATATCTCTTTATGAATATTATGAGATTGGTGTCTCTTTGTGGCTTCTCTTCTTTGGATATCAACATGACACATAAAGACTCTTCCCACTTGTAGTAGATGAAACGGGGTTTTAAAGATTACAACAAGAATCTCTAAACGTCATTTTCCACACGATTTGGTGTAAATCCAAAAAGCCGTTTTTGACTACTTCCGGGTAATAGAGCGATCAAATCGCGTTCGGGCAACTAGGCAAAATACACAACAAGACTACCCAAAACATTCAAAAGTTTTTGTTATAAAATCACATTATAATAATGACCTATCAAACCAAAATCAAAATGTTACTTTTTTGGTCTATAGACATAGAGTTTGATTTAAATTTCTTCTTTTTTAACCTTTTTTGTAAGCAAAAAAATTGGTGTTTGTAACGTTTTTTTTCCTAGAATTGTGATAACAATTTACAAGTTGACAAAACCAAAAAAAAAGTGATTGTACTTAGATTTTAAAGAGAGGTGTTTTGTTTGTTTCTATCTTCATCTCTAACAACTGGTTACTAAATTGAGAGAGCCCATTACTTTTGTGTTGTAGTAGTAGTAGTAGTAGAGACTAGAGTAGGCTTTTAGAGAGAGAGAGAGAGAGACGGCTCTGTTAAAAGACAACCACAGAACTCAAAGCACAAAACTCATTCATTAAGAATGAGAAGAAAGTCCAAACCTTTTTGCTCTCAAAAGCAACGGAAAGATTTGAAAAAGTTTGTTTTTTTCCCTTAATTCTTTCTTTTTTCTACAAAACCCATACAAAAATCTCACACCTTTTTCACTTCTCTTGTAGCTGTTACCACTTGTGTTTTCTTTTCCCTTTGGCATTTTTCTCGGTTGTCATTAATGAGAGAGTAAAATCATTCAAGTGTAACTTCTCTCTCTTTCTTTCTTTCTCTGTCTGAAAGCTCTGGGATTTGGAGAGATCATGGTTTATGTTTGATTTTGGGGAAAGTTAGGGTTTTTATGGGTCTTACTTGGATCTAAGAGGAGAAATTTTGGTTTTTTGGATAATGGGGAGAGTAAAGTTTGAAGCTTTTGGTTTTGTTTACTTCATCTCACTGCTTAATCCATTATGGCTTGCTTCTTCTAACATGGAAGGTTTGTTACTGTTCTCTTATCTTTATTTATTATTTTATGTTTGTAAGTACTTTTTGCTTGTTTAAGTGGTACATGAGAATAGATATATTCATCTGCCACTGTCGTTGTTCTTCAAAAAAGGACCTTTTTCAGAATCTGATTCTGTTTGAAAGTTCAATTCTTTGAAGAGTTTTGGTTTAGGCTTCTGCACAATTCACAATGCCTTTTACTACTCTGAAGTTTGTTTTTTTTTTGGTATTTCCTGGTTTGGAATGTTGCAATTGTTGCTTCTCTGATAAAGACTGATAAAATACCGATATAGTTTTGAGAACTATGTTTATGTCACAAGTGTTAAGGTTTGCTAAATGCATATGCAAATTCAAAGTAGTGTTTGATTGTATAAGGTTGGTTTGGTTCCTAAGATTTTCCACTTTGTGAAAGGCTTAGGCTTTTGGTTTTGTTTGTTAACCAGGTGATGCACTGCACAGTTTGAGAGCTAATCTAGTTGATCCAAATAATGTCTTGCAAAGCTGGGATCCTACACTTGTTAACCCGTGTACTTGGTTTCATGTAACGTGCAACAACGATAACAGTGTTATAAGAGTGTGAGTATCACTCTGTGTGCATCCAACACCACCGGTATTTTTTTACCTTTATTTTATCTTGTTTTGTTGTTGCTTGTTTAGCGATCTTGGGAATGCAGACCTGTCTGGTCAATTGGTTCCTCAGCTTGGCCAGCTCAAGAACTTGCAGTACTTGTAAGTTTTTTCTTTCATATCAAAAATTGAATCTAAGTCGAGACTCATAGATACCGAAAAAATAATGGAATTGGCTCTGTGTAACTACTTTTTGCTTAGATGATTGTAATCTCACACATGGTAGCAAGAATGCCGTTTACACGCAATTTGGTTTTGTCATTTTTAGTTAGGACTTATGTAATACTCATTTATCATTAGATTGTTAAGTTTCTTCTGAGGATGTGATGCTCTTAATTGCAGGGAGCTTTATAGTAATAACATAACCGGGCCTGTTCCAAGTGATCTTGGGAATCTGACAAACTTAGTGAGTTTGGATCTTTACTTGAACAGCTTCACTGGTCCCATTCCAGATTCTCTAGGAAAGCTCTTCAAGCTGCGTTTTCTGTAAGTACATCTTCTTAGTCTTCTCTTCCTCATCATGCACTGGCCAAAATGTCTTGCTATATTAGAAATTTATTTAGGTAAAACAGCTTCACATTGAACTCTGTATGGGGAAGGTGGTAATGTGGTATGAGTATTTGTTGCAAGGATAGCCGGCTCAACAATAACAGTCTCACCGGACCAATTCCCTTGTCATTGACTAATATCACGACCCTTCAAGTTTTGTGAGTATCACTAATTCAACTTCACTTACTGCTGTTTGGAACTTCTACTCTTAATGGATTCCCTGAGTTTTCCTTTATTATCTTGCAAAATGCAGGGATCTGTCGAACAACCAATTATCCGGATCTGTTCCTGATAACGGTTCTTTCTCGCTCTTCACTCCCATCAGGTTTGATTGAATCCATACTATTATACATTAATCACTCGCATTATGGTAACTAAAGCCTTAGATTTCTCTTATACATTGTGTTCTGCATACTAGAATAAAGAGATCTAATAAGTTAGGATTAAGTACAAGAGGCTATAATATTTAAAGTCTGAACTCAAGTTTCCTTTGATAATCTGTTACCTGTATTGGTGGATATGAAAATAATTAGCAGTTGACCTCACAAATTGTGTTCTTCTGCACAGTTTTGCTAACAACTTGGATCTATGCGGACCAGTTACTAGCCGTCCATGCCCTGGATCTCCCCCTTTTTCTCCTCCACCACCTTTTATACCACCTCCCACAATTCCTACACCAGGTAATGAAATGAAGCAGACTGTAAAGTTTATATCTTTGACATTCAATCATTCTTGGAAACATAGTGCATTTTGGTAGATTTTTGGTAGATGATCAAGTTCTCTGGTAGATTTTTTGGTTGGTGACTACTTTCTTATTAAAATTTTGTTAAAGGTGGATATAGTGCTACTGGAGCTATTGCAGGAGGAGTTGCTGCTGGTGCTGCTTTGCTATTTGCTGCCCCTGCTTTAGCTTTTGCTTGGTGGCGTAGAAGAAAACCTCAAGAATTCTTCTTCGATGTTCCAGGTTAGTCAATGAGTTTGCAATATTCAAGCTTTGTTTCCTTTTAGAATTGGTTTCGTATATAAGACTTGATTTTTTTGGTTCTATGATGCAGCTGAAGAGGACCCCGAGGTTCACTTGGGGCAGCTTAAGCGATTCTCTCTACGAGAACTTCAAGTAGCAACTGATAGCTTCAGCAACAAGAACATCTTGGGTCGAGGTGGGTTTGGAAAAGTCTACAAAGGCCGTCTTGCTGATGGAACACTTGTGGCAGTCAAACGTCTTAAAGAAGAACGCACCCCAGGTGGTGAGCTCCAGTTTCAGACAGAAGTGGAGATGATAAGCATGGCCGTTCACAGAAATCTCCTCAGACTACGCGGCTTCTGTATGACCCCTACCGAAAGATTGCTTGTTTACCCTTACATGGCTAATGGAAGTGTTGCTTCCTGTTTGAGAGGTAACCTTGGAATCTTGACTGATTGTGTCATAAAGTAGAAAATTTTTCGCAATAATGTATAATTTTTCCATGGAGGTGATTTGAGATAACTTTGATGTAGAAGTGTTGCTTTGATCTTATCCATTCTTTTGAACTTTTGAATGCAATTGAGTTAGCTTTCTTGAAATGATTGCAGAACGTCCACCGTCGCAGTTGCCACTAGCCTGGCCAATAAGACAGCAAATCGCACTAGGATCAGCGAGGGGTTTGTCTTATCTTCATGATCATTGCGACCCCAAAATTATTCACCGTGATGTGAAAGCTGCTAATATTCTGTTGGACGAGGATTTTGAGGCGGTGGTAGGAGATTTCGGGTTGGCTAGACTTATGGATTATAAAGATACACATGTCACAACGGCTGTGCGTGGGACTATTGGACACATTGCTCCTGAGTATCTCTCAACTGGAAAATCATCAGAGAAAACCGATGTTTTTGGCTACGGAATCATGCTTTTGGAACTGATTACAGGGCAGAGAGCTTTTGATCTTGCAAGACTGGCGAATGACGATGACGTTATGCTCCTAGATTGGGTATAACACAGGTCTTTCAGCACTTATTTGGGTATCTCTGTCTACTCTGAAAGCTAATTTCTCTGTTCATTTGATATTTTCAGGTGAAAGGGCTTTTAAAGGAGAAGAAACTTGAGATGCTTGTGGATCCTGATCTGCAGAGAAATTACACAGAAGCAGAAGTAGAACAGCTCATACAAGTGGCTCTTCTCTGCACACAGAGCTCACCTATGGAACGTCCTAAGATGTCTGATGTTGTCCGAATGCTTGAAGGTGACGGTTTGGCTGAGAAATGGGACGAGTGGCAAAAAGTAGAAGTTCTCAGGCAAGAAGTGGAGCTGTCTTCTCATCCCACATCTGACTGGATTCTTGATTCTACAGATAATCTTCATGCTGTTGAGTTGTCTGGTCCGAGATAAGAGACATTGTAATTTGTCTAACAAAAACGATAAAGAATAGAGAAAAATTAAGAAAATTACTTCTTTGTATTGATTGATTGAAGAAAAAATGTGTAGTCTCAATCTTGGTCCTTAATATATTCAATTTCAGGGGGAATACAAAACCTTTGTCCATATCAGCTGAGGTAGACAACAGCATTCCTGATTAATTTCTTGTGCAAACCAAGGCCTTTAATTTAACAAAATCACGCACACCAAATTCTATACATTACATATGGCTTCCACTAAATAAAGAGGAAGAAAAGGCTGTTCAAAAAACATTTGGAGTTCTTTGTTCCGCAAGAGAAGGAACAGCACAGGTAGACACACTGAAAAGCACCAAGCTTGCATTATAACATGTAAGAGTCAAGAATCATGGGCAGGTTTTGTATTGTCTGACAATGAATGTGAGCCAGATGAGCGATCAGGATTCTGTGATGTGAACAGATTAGGGTATGAGTAATAGGGGTCATCTTCCATGGAAGGCAGTCTCATTTGTTGGTGGTCCTGGTCAGGGTTGAGTCTGTCAAATGATAAAGACTCTGGCCTTTGGAGCTCTGTAAGATCACCATAGCTGCTGACGGATGAGTTCTGATGATCAAACTGCGGTTTTTCCATTGAAGGGAATCTCTGTGGTGTAAGATCGTCATAGCTGCTGGCTGATGAGTTCTGATGATCAAACTGCGGTTTTTCCATTGAACGGAGTCTCTGTGGCGTAAGATCGCCATAACTGCTAAATGATGAGTTCTGATGATCAAACTGCGGCTTTTCCATTGAAGGGAGTCTCTGTGGCTGGTGGTTGTTCTCCTCAAAGTTGAAAAGTGATGAAGTTTGTGCTCTCTGGAGCTCTGTAAGATCTCCGCTACTGCTGGCTGAAGAATTCTGATGATCAAAATGTGGGTTTTCTATTGAGGGAGTATGGAAAGGGTTCTCTGACGGACTTTCTGGATACCGATCAGATGTCTTCTTGGTAAGCTCAGAGATTCTGAGTTGTGCAAGACTTGCAGCTGAACGGGCAGCTGCTGCTGCACTTTCTGCTGAGTCAGCAGCAGCTTGAGCAGCCTTTAGGACATCCTGCAAGTCTCCATCAGATATTTTCCTTATAGCATCCCTTGAAATATCACTATCTTTTGTAGGCAAGGGCTCTACTACATCAACGGATGGTGAAGAAGGTGGAGAATAATTTTTCCTTTCCAAAGATTCCATCACAATGGGTGAAGATTGTTGGCCTTCCTTGGCAGTTCTGCTAGGTTTTGCAGGATGTTCATCACTTTTGGAAGCCGGTTTTTCGACTCCTGCATTCTCTGAATCAAAGGGCAATTTTGGTGCATCCGGTGCATTTACAGGGGTGGCACCAGGAGTTGGCCGCAGCAAGACATTTGGAACCTCGGGAAAGTCCAATATATCATACTCTGAGTCAGAATCAGATTTCTCTTTTGTCCCTTCATTTTGTTCCTCGGGTAATGGAAGCTTAGATCCCCCACCAAATTGTTTTGGTCCATCCTGAAAAGAAAGAAGACAAATTTAGGAAAAACAAAGAGACAACAACAGAAACATAAGGCCGTGAATATCTGGACACAGAGGTCTAAGAATGGAAAATGATCTTTGACACAGAAAACAATTAGAGTTTCGAGAAACAATTAGATACATTGAATTGCAGATTCAATGCCTAACACTAAATTCTGGGTTGATGCAAACACAAATATAAAGCATCTATCATATTCTGACCAAAACCATTATATGTAGAGAACAGATAGTAAGGAAGTGCGAAGAAAGAACTACTAACAAGGAGATCTTCATGCGACTTGAAAAGATCAGTTTCTGTAGAAGCAGGGTCCCAATCAAGTTCATGCTCTTCAGCAATTTCCTTGAGAAGTTTCAGTTTAGTTTCTGGGGAAGGTGCACGCACAGAGAGCAACTCCACCAACTGTAAAATTGATTTGGGAAGATATAAAAACATGAAAAATTACATTGACCTTGTTTCTACTAGATTGAACCAGGATGTAAGTGGTTCAGTCTGCAAGATAGATAAAGAATACTAGTTTAAACTAGGTCTAAAAATGGACATGTAATTCTAAGGATTTACAGATACTATGTTAAGGATTCCATAGACAATCTTTTTCAGCATCATACATCAATCTGTGTTGAGTTTCTACATGCTACACTCATATTAGTAATATACACCACTAATGAACACTAATTTACCTTACGATTGACACCGGAATCCGGCTTGAGCTCAGATGCAGCAGCAACAAATTCCTTTCCATACTTGGATACAAACAGTACCTGGACCTGCTGCAGCTCTATCAAGTCAGAGCACCTCGGTGCAGCAAAACATACACTTGATATTGCTTCTTTTAGATCTAGAGGACATTCCCTACAAATTTTCAAAAAGAAATATCCATAAGCTCAGCAACAAGGATTGAACAGAAAACTTAAACAAACAAAAGACATAATCTTTCCATGTATTCCAATCTAATTCCAAACTATCATCTAAAAAGAACTCACGAATGCACAAAGAGGACTATAAAGTGAATAACAGCAAACAACTGAACAACATTAATGGGCAGATCAAAGATCTAAAAAAAGATAAAACCTTTGAGCTTCAATAATAGGAATAAGAACAGCTTATAAGTGAATAACAGCAAACTGAACAACATCAAGGACAAATGAAAGATTTCAAAAAAGGTAAAACCTTTGTGCCTCAATAATCGGAAGACGAACAGCTATAAGTTCACAGAAGAGCTCAAGGATCTCTTGAGCAGCCATCATCTTCTCTTCCCTTATAATATGCTCAACCTAGCACAGATAACAAAACCAACCAAAACACTTAAAACAACGTTCCCATAAAACCCACTTAAACTAAACAACTCCATGAATGAATAAAAAAAACAAACCCGAATACGAGCAGTAGCTTCTTGACCAGTCTCAAGAAGCTTAGCAATCTCACGACGCATTTGCTTAATCTGAGCTTCTCTTCTATTCCTGATTAGCTTAATCCGAGGGATCGTCAACTTGAGCAAGGTTTTGCTGTGCAATTGAATCAGAGATACATCAAAAGAATCAGATAAACAACACTACAACTCAATCCAATTTCTTACAAAAAGTACACAGAGAAATCTTCCTCGATTGATAAATTTTGGGAAACAAAATCAGAAGAGATTGAAATAAGAGATAATACCATTTTGCAGCTTTGAAACCCTTATTGAAGAAGGAATCAAGCATCGACATGGATAAGAGTTTTACTGGTCACGATTGATTGATCACTAAAAGATCGATCGCAAAGCCTTTGGGAATACACAGAGAAGAAGAAAGATCTTTTTATTTGCTTCTCAATGAAGTATTTTTTTTTCTTTTCTTTGGTTAATATGTTTCGTTTTTTTTTTTTCTCCTTAAACGGTGCGTTTTGATTGATTTATACCAAACGAGTCGACCAGTTTCATCAAGTGAAGTTGGTTAAGCAACGAAACCACGTCGGTGGGAAACGGGCTTGGATTAATATGGGCCTGTTCACTATTGGACTCCGCCTTTTTATAAAAACACAGTCCATACTATTGCTTTTTTCATATATTAGTTTCTTTCTTATTGGTTACTACGGTTGTTAAGAACCTGAAACAAAACCGAATCCGAACCCAAAAAATCTGGCCCAAACCTAAACCCGCCCTAAAATATATATATATATATATATATATATATATATCCGAATGAGGTTTAAAGGTGCCAAAAACTCGAAAAGCCTGACGCGAGCCCGAACGCCCAGGGCTAGTCAATAGAAGCAAATCAACAGATAAAATTTGCACAAAAAAACAAACAAACATTTTTATTTATTTTTCTAAAAAAAAAAAAAAGCAATTACATAACATAGAAACAGATAGCAGCAATGCGAAAAAAAAAAAAAAAGACAGCAACAAGTCTTATAATCACATTATAGATGCAAAGTAAGACTTGTTGGCCAATACAAACATTACATAGCATAACATCTGGTTTGTTACGTTGGCCCGTTACGTGGGAGAATAGTATAAAACTATATCATACCGGAGGGAGCTCGAGCTCTGGATCAGCTGTTTCGGGTTGGCTCATGGGCATGGTCTTTGCAAAAGAGAGGTGCATAACGAAGATGAACCAAGAAAGGCAGAGAATAGCAATAACGAGAGCGAAGATGGGGAAAATAAGGAAGACGAGCATGTCTGCGGCAAAAGTGCCGATGAGATGACTGAGGTTTCCAACGCAGTAATAGATAAGACCTGGTTCTCTTCCGAGCTTTTCTTCGCAGAGTATGAGGACGACGTAGATCAGAAAGAGAACCAGGAAACCGCGTAACATATCAATACGATCTGCAAATGTCGAGATAATCTGGAGCAGACCAAGAAGCACTGCATATGCAGCGAAAATGTTCTTGTGGATTGTGGAGGAGTACAGAGCATAATCCTTCACCATTTTCTCAATAAGGGAACTCATTTACAAGTACTAAGTTAAAATGTTTAGTTTGTTTTGAGAGATTGTGTTGAGTGGTGCTATATATTTATAGCTAGGTATACAAAGTTTCAATATTAGCATCGCTTTTCTAAAAACGACGTTAGAATGAAGTGACCGTATTTTAATGAAGTGCATAAAGTTATCGTTTTCAAAACGACGCTAGAATGAAAAGTAAGGTGGTATATTCAGTGACGCTAGAGTTCATAAATCTATCTTTTTTCCATATAAGAAATAAATAAACAAAAATGTCGTACATGTTGCATATAGTGTATCGCTTTCCATATATATAGAGTACATGTTTAGTTTGTTTCCATATACTCATATATAGTATAGCTAGAGTTAGATATACAAAGTTTCAATATTAGCATCGCTTTATAAAAAAACGACGTTAGTAAGAAGTGATGGTATTTTAGTGTTTTTCTTCTCCATGCATATAGTATCGTTTTCAAAACGACGCTAGAATGAAGTGAGGAAGAGGAACCATCATTTTAATTCCCGGAGGAAAGACTTCGTAGAAAATAATCTTCTTTATTTTCTTTCGACTCAAAAATGAGAAAACTAAACATCACTTTTTTATAATGCTAGCTTAACATCATTTTTTTTAACAT